ATACACACACGCGCACGCATACACACATGCACACACAGTTATTTATATATATATAGACATTGACAATCAATGTAGGTCTATATCGGTATATACATCCGGGGGAATTGGGAGAATAAGCGCGAGGTGTGTGTGTGTGTGTGTGTGTGTGTGTGTGTTTTTTCTACTACTAAATGATAGCTTAGTGGGTCAGATCTAAAATCACCATCAGGTATATGAGGTTGAATGAGGTAGCATATCCTACGATTCGGTGTTCGCGGATATGGCGTGGAGGTAAGAATAACCATGGAGACCTCGTCTAAATACTGCACATACGTGTCCATCTGCTGATACAGGAGACACACACCGACGCACGCAAGCACACACACGAACGCACGCACGCACGCAACGCACGCACGCACGCGCGCACGCGCATAGAAAAACAAAGCACACGTACACACACCTAATTCTCGTCATGTTAGTTTCGTTGGCCCCTACGTTTTCACGTTCCGTGAAGCCGAGCGTGACGTCAGCGGATATCCGTTTACCATATTCTACGCTTGGCGCGTATACGGTTGCACATACCAAAAAGTTTGATAAACCTCTGAAACACGCGAGTTTCGCGTGATAGAATCACACAGTATGGAGCGTCACTGGCAACGTAAATGAACACATTATATATATGAGTACCGTTATTAGGGAGAAAGCAACTATTAGTGCAGCATCAAGCATGCACCCCACACGCTCAATACGCAACTAAACGGCTCGAATAGTAAGAGGTTGATCTTGGTTGAGGTTGTTTAAACACCAGTATAACTAACTATGCCTCGGACGAATCGTTTAGCTAATTCCTGTCAATCGTCAGGTGTTGATCAGTTGGTTATGATCTGATAGCCCGTAGCGCTGGTATATGTAGTCTTATACTATAGCTACTCATTCGGTGTCAATCTATAATACCGTCTAGTCGGTAGCTACGCGCTCGTCCTTCGTTAGCTATTTGTGACCCATATTACCGCCATGTGGCGCAACGGTCGTACCAAAAGAACAGCCCTTCATCTTTGACATCTAAAACAAAACGACGTGATCACAGTATTATCTCGTAAAATTGAACATGCACAATAAGTAGAACGTTCGAGGTTAATAAATGATCAAACGATTCTGATCAATATATACAAAGCATCGGTTAGTCTAGTAGAAAATTATCGGCCCACAGTCTAAACACGCACACGTTTGTTACCCCTCCCCCCCCCCCCGAGCTCGACCCGTCAGTTCTAAACACTAAAGCGTCGCTAGGTGTTGCGGTATTTTCAATACAGTTTTTCCTATGTATAACCCCATGTTTTAACTAATGAATTTCTGCTAGGTGTATCTTTTGAATCGAAAGATTTCACAATCACTTAGCTACTCCTGATTATTTCTCTAACCAGTTTCTACCGCCACTTTCTTTCTAAAAACAAATAGAAAAAGAGAAGACAGTTTTTCACACGATGAAGGTAAATTAGCAATAGGACGAGGTAAATCGCCTATAACTGGTATTAGGGGGTTTCCCGCGTGCGACATTCCATAGTCATTCATTCCCAGCCTTGACTTACTCCCATGCGAACTATCTCACAGAATATTAGCTCCGAACTTACACCTTGTACCACTTCACATTTTTAAATATTGGACGTATTACAGGAACTTATTCGAGGAAAGATTTACCATGTTTCTAAATTTTATCTAGGCGGTAACGTGGTCTTTTACGTGTATGCGCATTTCGTCAACAAGTGAACACTGCTCGGGAGATAATCAACGTCATCATGTCGCTGAGATCTTTGGCTTCGGATCTAAAATACGGATCTAAAATACGGATCTAAAATACGGTAGCGTTAACTCGTTCCTGTGTGCCCGGGTTCTTTCAGAGTGACATCGTACAAAGCACAAATTTTTCTCGTCTATTAAAATATCTTCGTTTACAATCTCACCATACACGAACGCCTGACCTCTTATACAATGTCACAGCGAGGATTTAGCAACGTCAGCACGCTTCGTAACTGAACACGGTAGATTCCGCACACAGTGACACGCTGCTTTGACTCGCGCGCTGTTTCCGTGCGTATTTCCAAATATGGCAACTCCTGTTACCTTATATGTCATGATAACATCGTATATATTACGGTACACGCACGCCGAATCGCTACACTGTGATAAATTTATAATGGTGAACCTTGTAAATATTTTATACTAGTACGATGATCCCTGTGCTCTTTAATAAAATATCGTCCAGTGCGTTATTTATGTGTATATATATATATATATATATATATATATATATATATATATATATACATATGGATATATATATATAGTCTATATTATACACACTCCTGATATCAGCTCGTCGCAGAAACGTTACAACAATAGAAATAACATACTAGTTAGACATGTGTCTCTATAATATATTTCTATGGTTACAACTGTCGAAACATTGATGAATTTTTCCTATGGTAACGAGAAAGCGTGGAGGCACGCGTATACAGCTGGTATGACTACTCGCGATGCCAGCCAGCATATGTACATGCATTGTTGAGTGGCGCTGAAAAAATTTGGAAATGAGGAGAGCAAATTTCTAATGCGAAGAATTTTTAAAGGTGCGTTGTTTCGCCGTAAAACAATGAGTGAGAGGGACAAAGAGCGAGAATCCGTAAATATTTTTGCCTCGCGGACAGATGGTCGTCCTTCTCCGTATAACCTGCCACGGGTCTCTCTCCCCGCCCTCTCTCTGTGTCTATCTGTGTGTGTGTCTCTCTCTCTCTCTCTCTCTCGCTCGCTCTCTCTCTCTTTCGCGCTCTCTCTCTCTCTCGCTCTGTCTGTCTCTCTTTCTCTCTCTCTCTCTCTCTCTCTCTCTCTCTCTCTCTC